CCCACTTTTCCTTCCCTTCTTCCTTCCTTTCACTCCCGTATTGGATTGTTGATGCTGGGATGGACCTAGGATTTTGTACACGTTCGCAACAAGCTGCAATGGCGTTTTTCAGCTGTCAAGAAACGAAGTCTTTGGGGGTTCTTGGGAGGGGATTGGAGCGACACAAGGAGAGGGAAATTTGAATTTTGGATTGGCGATTGGGGAATGGAAGGAGTTGAGTGGGACTGTGAGGTTTGTAGTGCGATGTGTGCGATGGGGGATCGTACTTGGGGTGAAATGGCATTTGATTTGATTTTGTTTTAACATCACATCACACTACTGATGTTGATGAATACTGATATCGGACGATCGTTCGTTGGTCAGAATGTGCGTAGTCGTGACTTGCATGATGTATGGGTAGTACACATTAATAATGCAGACGGAGATGACAAGGCGTGTGGTATCTGTATCGTACATAAAGAACGGTTCGAACTACTCAGAGGGGAGTGGACGAGTAGGTAGAGTATATCAACGACAGTCCGTCGAGAGATGTAAAGGCATGCAACTCGCGAACGAAGATCTAATGATGGCCGTCGGTATATTCAGGAGAGAGACAAACAATGAAGAGCCGGAAACGAGTCCAGAGTCCAGCCTGTCTTATCGTTGCATCTGGGCGTGAGGGTGTTGAAGTCGTAGCTATGCCAGTAGCCGTTACCGACGGCAGGTGTGGTGGATGAACTGGAGACGGCAACCTGCGGCTGCGAAGATGGCTGGGTGACATTGGGCTTGGGAGGCTGTGAGTTGCCCGCAGTAGAGTTCTTCGAGGGCAATGGTTTCATTTTCTGTTTCTGTTTCTGTTTCGCTAATGCAACCTCCCTCGCTGAAGCGTTTCTCTACATGACATCAGGTCAAGTTGAACGTCGAGAGGGAGAAAGGACATACACGTTTGCCCTTCGCATATGGAACTTTAATAACTGCTGGGCTGCGCCCCTTGTAATTCGATACCTTCACCACTTTGTCGACCACGCCGTTTGAAAAGGTTTCGAGCCCAGTCGAGAGGAGAGGACCAGTGGTGTACCATGGGCACTGGAGGGGCCTGCGGTTGCGGTGGAATAAACGCCCAGAAGTGTGGTTTCTTGTGGTGGTGAGGACTGAAACCGCGGAGGTCAGGATAATACTCAAAGTGATAGTGATGACGTACATGAGCTGGTGGGACTCCATCAAAAAAACCATGGGATACCTTATAAGCAGCGGACGTTGCTGGATCGGACGTTGCTGGATCGGACGTCGTGTAGCATTAGCCTAGAGTATGTATGTTGAGCACAACGAGATCTTTGAATGAAGGTGTCACGTACATGGAGTGCCGACTTGTTAGCCTGGCAGAGCACGTTCAGTTGTGAGAATGAAATGGATGAGACATGCCTGTCAGCTCACCTTTGAATCCAACAGAAGGGTGTCAAGGCCGGCTTCTCTAACAATCGCAGCAACATCCCATGAGTACGCGTTTTGTCATTGCAACCGGTTGCTAGTAGCTTTCCATCGGCGGGAAAGGACACGCAGTTCACTTGCTTTGCGTGCTGGAGGGGCGAACTGATGGGTTGTGCATTGTCAAGGTTCCACAATCGCGCTGTATTGTCGCATGATGCGCTTGCGAGGATGCGGTCATTCGGTGATATTGCAATGGCCATGACATGATCGGTGTGGTCATCCAGAACCGCGGTTTGCTCCCACTTGGTTGTATTCCATGTCCTGATCGAGCCATCCCATGATCCAGAGACAAGCGTTTTTTCCGTCCGCGGTCCAAGCCAGGCAACGCACTGCTTTGGTGTGTCCTTTGAGAGTTGCGATAAGCTTGCCTGTCTTTGCGTCCCAGATTTGAATTGAGGATTTGATGTGTTTTCCAGGCCAGGGCTCATCACGTCCACCAGTCGCAATCCAGATCATGTCTGGTGAATAGACGACTGCCCACACTTGATGGTGTCCTGTCTTGATCGATGCAAGTATGGTTTTCTTCCGCTTTCCTCGTCCTGCGTCTCCCCACTGTCCGCGTTCCATTGCCTTGCAGTCCCATCGTTAGATCCGCTTAACACTCTCCGACCATCTCGACTCCAGTAGACGGACACCACTTCCTTTGTGTGCCCTATCCATTTCGTGATGACCTTGCATGTGTCGATGTCCCACAACCTCACTGCACCATCCACACTCCCGCTAACTACTTTCTTCCCATCCGGAGACAACGCTATTCTGTACACTTTACTTTCATCAGTAAATCATGAGTTTACTTTTCTAACTTTTTTCGCGCTTATTTGCACAACCCGTTAACAATCATCACTATTTGTTCGAACTTGAAAAGTTTGTGCCATTGAATTAAGTAAAGGGCACAAAATAAGTGAAAAAGTGGGAAAAAGTGAAAAGTTTGTAATTGAGTGAGCGAGAATCCCTAAAGTAAGTGACGTGGAAAAAGCATGAAAGGTACCAGAAAAAGATGGTCACATTGGAAAGTGCTAACACGCTATCTCGAAGGCGTGATGGTCAGCATATTTGTTGACATAGAAGAGGGTGAAGATCTCGAGGACATGGTGGGGTTTAATCACGGAGGGAAGCGGATCAGTACCATAGACAGGAATGAGATGGGCAGAACGGAAGATGGTATCCACATGGATCACTGCAAACGCATGATCACCAGTGGAAGAAGACTTCACCATCCACATTCCGGTGTCGTCGTCGGGTGCATCGCCAACTCGGTTGAACCAGCGGACAATAGCGCATGGATAGTATACACCCCTAAGTCGAAAGGAAAAAAACGTGAGTACCTGAGCGATATCCATGCCCCGCATTCCGTGAGCATTTGGGTCAGTAATGACGAACACACAATCTTTGCGTGGATGTCCATTTCTCCATTTGGGGGACACACGAATGTACTCGTGTTTCATCCCACCAATCCCGCTCAAGTCACTCGGTGCAAAGAATGTTGATACCGCGGAATTGAAAACACGTATCCTCCCATCAAAATGAGGGCAGTCCATGATGCTCACAGGCACTTCAGCGAGTTCCTTGTCCGGATACAATTGTTCGGTGAGGAATTGTCGGACAAGATCAACCAAGTGTGGGATGTGAAGCTCGCTGGCTAGCGCAGGAACACTTTGTGCCCGCTTTCTCCCTTCTATTTAGTATGTAATTAGCTAGTACTTCAGAACGCGCAAAAAATGACTCACGAGATGTTCGACTGAGTTCTACGTGTGCAAGGACAGAAGTCGGTGCATCAATGTCCTCAGAGTCCGCAACGACATCAGCGTCAGGCACACTGGCACTTCGCGCTGCGCTGGGTTCTTCTTCGTCAACATCAAGCACTTCTGCACTGCCTTGTGTGGAGGGGACAGTGGGTTGTCCATCTGCTGGTGGTTCTAGTAGTGATAAACGTCAACATTGAAATTTAAAGGTAGAAATTAAAAAAATTACCAAGCGATGCGAGAACAGAGGATAAGCATGTACCTGAGAGCATCCCGCGAATACGGAAATCCACACGTGATGCCGCTAACTTGTCCAGACGCTGATTAGTTAGCAGCATCTGGCCTAGTGCCTTGTACCGACTGGAACGTCTCCATGGCTCTTTGACAGCCTTGATGTGTTTCGACTCCGTGATTGAGGAGCACAGGCCATTCGGAGCACCAAATAGTCGAATCAGGGAGACATAGTGAGTCATCGAGTGCTGTCGGGGAAGCGAGAAGGTGGGGACCACTCCAGTGGTCCTGAAAACCTCACGATATGTGTGAAAACGAGTGAGCGCATCTTGAATTTCGACGAGGGACTTCTCAGTGATGATATTGCGGCGGACGAGGTAACAGAATTCAAGTAATGCGCGGAACGCACGCACAACATCTGTTGGGACATAGCCTTCAATTGCAGGCAAGTAAACCTTCACATGGTTAGCGCTACAATATCTCGTGTAGAAGAATATGTAAATTACCTTCATAAGCGCCTTTGAGTCGTCACCAGTCCACTGTTTGAAGTGGCGTCCTTGAGGAAATCTACGCAGTCCAGGAAATGGAGGAACTGCCGCAATCCTAATATGAAAGTAAGATTAAATGAAAATTGCAGAAAGAAAACACACCTTCGGTCAATATCATCCAAGATGATGTTGGCTTGCCTCTTTCCGTGCGTCTGCAGGAGGTATTTCTCTACCCAGTCGACCAAATGATCTTTGTATGCCCCCTTGATGAGTTGATGGAGAAGGTCAGGCGCAAGTAGCTCATGGATATCAGCACGGGGGAAATCGTTGGTAAATGGCTGTGTTAATGCGTGAATCTAAGTACAAGTGAAACGGAGTGACCGAGGTACCACAAGCTCGCCAACTAAACCGTACTCAAACCGCAGGGTTCCAGAATCATACTCTTCAATTAGCGCATCTGCGTGAGCTCTTGTGCGATTGCGATTGATCGCATCAAGGTTTCCACGAGGTGAAAGACACCTTCAAGTTACTTGGTATAAGCACAGATATAAAACGCTCATTGAAAAACTTACTTGGCGCACCAATTTCGTAATATACAGGCGAGCAGCACCTGTTCTTCATAGTCTGCAATGTAGGGCCCAAGTCCATAGACCACACGCCGATAATGGCCATCTCCGAAGCGTGCAACTTCAGGTTTTGTCATAGCGGGTTTGAGGTTCTTGAGGATGAACGAGAGTGAAGAATGGAAAAGTTGGCGTCGGAAATTTCGAAAGCCTGGTGTATCAGCATGCTCTTTGGTTGCTGTTGGAAATGTAATGAGGATAGAACATAAAATAAGCGACCACTTACTTTTGGGCATTGCGAGGAAGGCTACAACTGCAACAGCATTTCGATGAGCACGACGCACATTATTCCGAACGTTGCCGATAGAAGCGTAGAGTGGGTAGTAGTCATTTTGTCCCGTGGCAACTGAAACGGTAGTTTTGTCACTTCCAAGAATAACCGGCACAAAGGTTGAGCCATGTGTGTCAGCATCCTTAGATATGATGTCCTATAGATGCGCTTGTCAAACCACACACAATAAAATGATGAAACACGTACTGCTTGAGCCCAGCCCCAATCTCCAGACATGAAGTCCTGCCATTGGCGTTCATTGTTCTCTGTTGCGAACTCACGGTAAGGTTGGAGATCCATCTCCGCAGCGAAGTCTGGGTTAGCAAGCATATTTCGAACAACATCGCGGGGATCACGAAACCAGACATCATGAGAATCTGCCATCCAGGGTGGGGCACCTTCATCTGGAATTGCGCCTGTATACTTGACCGAAAAAGATTGCCACTTAACATCGCCAAGGGGAGTATTGTCAATCGTCCTGTAGACATCGCGATGATCTGGAAATAGGGTGGCCTTGCTCCCGGCTTGGATTAAGGAAGCTGCCCAAATGTTCAGGAGGTGGTCGATAGAATGTGCGGGAGTTTGGTTCTTTGTAAATAGGTAGTCGGCAAGCTCAAACTCGACACGGCTCTTGTAGGGAGTCCAGTCGTCTGGTGTCTTTTCTGTGAGTGGTGGAGGTGGTGTTCCTGGTGGAAGGAACACACCCTCAGCATCGCAAGGGCGAGCTTTTGAGTGCATTATGTCAATAAAAATAAAAATAAAACAAGACAAAAACTTACCAGACAAAAGAGGATGGTAATTTCTAAACAATCGTTCACCAGCGCCAAAGAACTCTGCTGTTGATTGCAGAGGATCTTCGTTGTCTATGGGACCGGCTGCACCGGCATCACCAAAGTCGCCGCCAATGTCCCCATGACCAAAGATGTCAGGGCCCGCCTGTGCTGGACTTGCCGAACGAGGTACGGATGGTTGCGTCAACGTAGGTGGTTGTAAGAAGACGGGGTGCTTCGCATTCATATGCTGAGTATACCCAGACCGATTCTTGAACCAACGATTGCACCCTGGCTTCGTGCAAGGGATGCTAAGACCGCTGGGCACTTGGTGTGGGTGGGGCATGATGTTTGAGTTAATGGTATTGGGAGTCGAGGGAAAAACAGGGATAGCCAGTACCAGTTCTGGGACGGCAGATGATGGTATTGGGAGGCGAGAGAATGGGTGGTAGGATTGCCAGGACCAGTTCTGGGACGGCAGTTGATGGTATTGGGAGGCGAGAGAATGGGTGGTAGGATCGCCAGGACCAGTTCTGGGATGGCAGTTAATGGTATTGGGAGGCGAGAGAATGGGTGGTAGGATAGCCAGTACCAGTTCTGGGACGGCAGTTGATGGTATTGGGAACTGAGAGGATGAAGCTGGAAGGATCGCCAGGACCAGTTCTGGCAGTATTGAAGCGATGCAGTCGAAAGAACAGCTATTTGATACTTGAGTTGATGGTATTCGGTGGTGTAGGTGGACGCACCTACTGGTAGCGAGTGCAGGCGGACTTGGAAAATCGTATTGAGTCGTACTACTGCAGGGTTGTTTGTTTGCGTTTAGGAAATTTTGCAGCATACATTCGACTAAATCTTACTGACCTTTTATTGTGCTCCTTTGCCGCATCCCTTGCCTGCCTTTCATATCCACTATGGCACCTCCCGTCTCTCCTCGCCGTACACGCACCAAAAATGCAACACAGCACCCTGGACATGTGCTCCTCGAAGGTAAAAGAAAACGACGCACCCAGGCCCAGATCAAGGAAGACAAACAGCGTGCCCAGGAAGCACAGGCTGCCCAGGAAGCCACTCAGCAGAGCAAAATCGATCGTATTGCTGGTATTGAGGCTGCCATGGAGGTGGAGCAGGCGACTCAGGCGACTGGAAAAGTGAAGCCAGTAAGGCCTCGTGCTAGGCCGGTCAAAAAAAAGACAGATGGGAAAGGTGCCGACAGTGATCTTACCTCAGAGAGTCTGCCTGTGCCTGCAGCAGAGGCTAAGGGTCAAGGTACAGGCGATCATCACATTAGTCAAGATGGTGGTGGTGTAGGTGCAGGAGAGAGTAAAGCGGTTGGAAGCAAGGCTGCTGCAAGGCCGCCAAAGAAGAAGGCTTCCTTGATACGTGATGCAATCAGTACCGCAACAAGACAGATTCTTGATGGGAAGGCACCTGATTGCGACAAGAAAGGAAATCCTGTACCGTCAGTTAATTCGTCTTCTCACCATCATGATCTTGATGCTCACAGAATCTACACTGCATTTTATGACACTTACTTGGTCGCTCAGAGGTAAAAAATTTAGCTTGACAGGCAAGATCAACAACTGGCGCAATCTCGTGAAACCTGAGACGAAGTCGAAAGCGTCTCCTGTTGCGACACCTGAATCCGAATTTTCAGACGGCACTGTTTTGTCAGCAACCACTTTGAAGACAAGCCAAACTGCAGCGACCACTGTCTCACTCGCAAAAGACCCTCCTCCGTCCTTGACAGAATCTTCAGAGGGTGACGAGGAAGAGGAAGAGGACAGAGATGGTGACAACGACATTGACGAAGATGGAGACGGAGATGTAGGTGGAGACGACGCTGATGCTGACGTTGACGTTGACGCTGATGCTGACGTTGACGCTGATGCTGATGCTGACGATGAAGACAACAATTTCGAGGAACCTGCCCTTGTAACTAACGGAAAGGTTAAGGCAAGCCTGAAGGTAAGTCACGGCATCAAAACATCGAAGTTCAACTGATGCACACTGACATTTTGTTTTAGTCTGTTGTACAGATTGCCGAAACTTCGGACGACGAATGCCTGAAGCACTGGCACCAATATCTTTCAATCAATTGCCATACAGCCAACAAGCAGACATCGTAAGGTTTGCCCTAGAGCAAGTCCCGCCTCGCGGGGTCTCGTCCACCAAGAGGACAATCGAGGAGGCTGAATTAATAGAATCGTCTGAAGAATACGTATCCGATCACAGTGAGGATGCTGCCGAGGAGGGATACAGACCTGCCGCGACACGTTCAAGTGTGTTATTGACCCTATGCTACTTGACGAAGAGCCTATCTCTGCCAACGTCGAGCAGGTTCCCAAGCCAATGCGCATTACTACAAAGGTAAGTGTTGGTTCAATATTTATTCTCTCAATACTGAGGTATGTGCTAGACCAGTGTGACAGTCGCCGAGAAACCGAACCCACCCAAGAAGCTAAACTGGAACCAGTACTTTCGATGCCCTCCGAACCCAATTTGATGGCTGCCGACATGTCGACAAAGCCCAAAGCTGGTGCTCAATGGCGAAACACGGACCTCCCACCAATTATGTTGGAGGGTGGCGCATGGCGCCGGACATTTATCCCAACGGTCTTTCTTTGGGCAGGTGCTCAGCCAAAATTTTGGTCTATCGAGACCGAAAAATTACTTCCGGCACTCCAGGCTATTTTCAACGTCTCATTTCCAGGAATAAATCACAACATTCAACCAAAAGGTCCCATAGTAGGCTTGGTAAGTCCGAGTCAAGTTTATTTTCACATCCTAACTATCTTTCTAACTGTAAATTGTCCTTCATTTGAAGGTGAATCAGCGCATATGTTCCTGGCGCAGCAACTTTGGATCAACAGCTATTGCCCTCATCGCGAACTTTCTGGCGGCCTCTAGAGATGACGAGAATGGCGACGACGACGATGACGACGACGGTGCCGAGTATGAACAGGGGCTGGCAACATTTCTTCTCGAAAAAATGGGCCTTCCTCTATGAGGATCCAGAGACTCGTGACGCAGACAAGATCTACCGGTCGGTGTTCATGTTGGAACTGATCGAGTCTGCTCACATCAACGCGATTGCCGGATTCCTCGATGTACCGGCACTCAACACGGATGCTCTGCAGGTGAAGGGCATGCAGGCTGTAATTGCTGCAAGTGCTGCTGCAGTAGGTCCCATCTATGGTTTTTGACTTCAATTGACGGTCCACCTTTGCAGCTTGAACGTGCCTTTAATTTCGCTGCGAAGCCGAAAGTTTTGAAGCAAAACAACACCAGCAGTAAAGAGAGCACCGCAATATCAGCCTTTTCGGAGGCAAACTGTGGCTCAGCGACATCCGAATACTACGAGTCCCTCAAGAGGCGAGGGGTGAAGTACACTGCGGACATAATCGCCCTGGTGCGCAAGCGCCAGGAAGCAGCCAAAAAACTCAAGAGTGCTCCTGCCGAGGAGCTGAAACCTAAGGGCGAGCGTGCCCTGCTCTGTAAGTTTTTTTTACTTGACATGCGCTCTACTTATGTGTCCAACAGGATGTTTACTGTTTTCACCGGTGTCCTCCATCATTTCTGTACTCTCTGGACTCTGCTTCCGCACATTCAAACACATCTTCCCCGTCATTCCCCCCGCTGTATTGAGCCGTCTTTTGCGTTTGTGAACTACTCCTAGACTGCTTTTTATCTCCATTTTTCGCACTTTTGGACTACTTATTTTAATGTTGACAACTTTTAATGCTCACTATTGTGCCGTTTTATGTGGGTCTCGCAAAAATAAGTTGAAAAAAAGTTGGATTTGGGCCGAGAGATCTACTGAAAAAAGTAGCTTTTACTTTTATTGCCTTCGCACTACTTCCCCACCGCTTTGTGCAAAAAGTTGTACATTAGTGGGCAAAAAGTAAACTCGTGATTTCCTGATGTTCTCCGTCTCTCCAGTGTTCTCCTATCTGATTCCCGCTCTTCAAGTTCCACACTCGCAGCGAGCCATCCAATGAACAAGTGATGATCCGCTGTCCGCCTGGCACGTGTATGACGCCCCAGACTTCATCACTGTGCCCTTCAAATTTCTGGCGAGGTGTTTTTGCTGATATCTCTTTCATTTTAGTGGTGGGTGAAGCCATACTCCTGAATTCCTGCTACGGAGTGCAGCGCCATCTCAGCTTTCATCCATCAAATTTCAAAATCATCACTTACAAAGACGACAATGATAGGCGGACAGGAGGGCACAACGGACGTTTTGGTCAAGTTAGAGTTGAATCTACTGTCTCTTGGTACGTTGTACATGCTTTATCCTCGTGTTCGCTTCACAGCTTATACACAGCATAGGCTGTGCGACTGAAGCGCCCAAGAATCATCTGCCTCAGGTCACAACCGGTGACTCTCTCAGTCGACATTTCCAATATACGACGTGCTCATCACATCCGTTTACTCCAGTTCCTGCGTTGAGGTCTACTTTCTCTATTTCGTCATAACATTTCTGCCTCTGTCGTTTACCATACCCGTAACCTAGAATTTTCATTTTCTCCGTTCAAATCCCACAGGTACGTCTGTACATCGGTCACTCTCTCATATGTCTACTTTGAAAATATACGCTGATAATGCCTATAGCGTCTCTTTTCTGACGACCGGACGGAGATAGGTGTGCACGTGGCCCCGGAGATACTGGTACTCGCGTCCTCGGTAAACCAGATGCACAACTCACGGAAGAGACTCTTACACTAGGCCTGGATGAAAGGCAAGCCGAAGATGATAGATTACAGGCACTTGATTATCTCAACATGGTGCATCCCGTCTCGTCCTGTGATTGAACCTTGTGTGTCTCATAGTTTCTTGCCATGGAATATAGCTAGTTCACAATATCGACGATACGAATGGTGATTATGCTCGCGTGGATTAATGCGCGATCTAACAAATGGTATGATACAGACCTGAAGAGACTAGTGCTATGGAAATCCCTACACAACCTCCTCCTAGTATCCAGTATGAACGACACCCTCGAAATGCAAACTCTTCGGATAATTGGAACTGCACTACGAAACATCCCAGCTGCTCAGCTCGCCGTGAGTCCTCCTTCTCTTTCAATGCATCCTCTTCCTAACATGTATCCAATCTACATCCAGTTTTGCATGGCCCCGGTTCAATTCACCCTAACTAACTGTACTTTGTGTTCATGTTCTATTTGATAACAGTATCTCCACCTCGACCCCCTCCCCACGTTCCTCAAATTCCTCTCCCCCTCTTCAAACTCCCCCGAAACCCGCTCGCGAGCCCTATGCGCGCTTTCTGGTCTACTGAAACTGAACGCTGCTGCTGTGCAAATGATTGGTATGGTGGGTGAATGGAGCGCGTTGAGGATGTGTCTGGAATGTGCGTATTCTCTCACAACCCCTACCCTCTTTGTATGCTCACAACCCTCACATTCACACACGCGATGAACACTACAGACTCGGAAATCCACGTCCGCAAACAAATAACGTTCCTGCTCAACACACTCCTCCCAACCTCCTCTTCTCAAGTTAACAACCAAACATGAGCTTCCCAACCTCAGAAACCGCACCACCCCCCAATCCACGCGAATTCCCATGCCTCGATGTTCTCTGATCCGCCGTCCATCTCTATGTCTGCTCTCACGCTCGCTACGATTCAGAAGGAGGGAGAGGTGGTGGGTCTTTGTCCTTGCTCAATGCGTTGATATCAGCCTTGATCGAACCTGTCCCGTTCGGTGTTGAAGACGAGATGGATAAGGATGAGGAATTTCAGGAGAATGTCTTGAATGAGTCCGATCCCTTCCCACCTTCCACTCCCGTATGAGATTGGATTGGGTTGTTGATGTTGGGATGGAAGTAGGATTTTGTATGCATTTGCGACGAGCTGCGACGGCGCATTATCGGATGTGCAGAAACGCAGTCTTTTGGGGTTCCTAGGTGGGATTAGAGGACGCAAGGAGAGAAATTGAATTTTGGATTGTGGGAGGAGTTGAGTGGAGCTGTGAGGTCATAGTGCGATGCGTGCGGTAGGAGGTTGTGATGCGATACAGTAAGAGATCGTAGTGCATACGGTAGGGAATCCTGATATGATGTGATGCAGTAGGAGTCGTACTCGTGGTGAAATGGAATGGCATTAGTTTGATTTTTGTTTCAACACCACATCACTAGCGTCAATGAATTCTGATATCGGACGATCATTCATTTGTCAGGCTGTGACTTGGGTGAAGTATGGGTAGTATACATTGATATTGCAGACGGAGATGACGAGGGCGTTTGGTATCGGTATCGTAAACAAAGGACGGTTCGAAATACATCAGAGGAGTGGGACGAGTAGGAAGAGCACATCAACGAGAGTTCATCGAGAGATGTAAAGGCGTCGTGAAGGATGAGAAGGTCTAATGATGACTGTCTGTATATTCAGGAGAAAGACAACCGAGAAAGAGCCATAAGCGGGTCCAGCGTCCAGCCTGTCTTATCGTTGCATCTTGGCGTGACGGTGTTGTTGAATTTGGAGCTGCGGTAGCATCACCGGCAGCAGATGTGGTGGACAACGAGTCAGCTGCCTGTGGTTGTGAAGATGGCTGGGTGACATTAGGCTTGGGAGGCTGTGACCTTCCCGCAGTAGTACTCTTCGAGGGCAATGGTATCTTTTTGCGTTTCTCCCTCGCGCAAGCGTTTCTCTACGTGAAATTAGGTAGAGTAAAACGATAGAGGAGAAGGGACTTACACGTTTGCCCTTTGCATACGGAACTTCAACTACTGCAGGGCTGCACTCTTGTAACTCGACACCTTCACCGCTTTGTCTGCGCCATTTCAAAAGGTTTCGAGCCCAGTCAAGAGGAGAGGACGGTGACGTATCATGGGCACTAGAGGGACTGCGGTTACGATGGAATAAACGCCTGAGAAGTGTGCTTCCTTGCGGTGCTGAGTAGGGATGGCTTCGTGCAGAGGACTGAGAACACGGAGGTCAGCAAAACAAAATGGAAGTCATAACGATGACGTACATGAACTGGTGGAACTCCATCAAAAAAACCATGGGGTACCTGAGAAGCAAGCGGACGTTGCTGGATTGGACGTCGTGTAGCATTACCCTAAAGTATTCTTTGAATGAAGGTGTTACGTACATGGACTGCCGACTTGTTAGCCTGGCAGAGCGAGTTCAGTTGTGAGAATGTAATACAACGAGACGATCAGCTCACCTTTGAATCCAACAGAAGGCTGTCAAGGCCGGCTTCTCTAAGAATCGCAGCAACTTCCCATGAGTACGCGTTTGTGTCATTGCAACCGGTGGCTAGTAGCTTTCCATCAGCGGAAAATGACACGCAGTTCACTTGCCTTGCGTGCTGGAGGGGCGAACTGATGGGTTGTCCATTGTCAAGGTTCCACAATCGCGCTGTCTTGTCCGACGATGCACTTGCGAGGATGCGGCCATTCGGAGATATTGCAATGGCTATGACAGCAGAAGTGTGCTCATCCAGAACCGCGGTTTGCTCCCACTTGGTTGTATTCCATGTCCTAATGGAGCGATCCCATGACCCAGAGATAAGCGTTATTCCGTCCGCGGTCCAAGCGAGGCAACGCACTTCCTCTGTGTGTCCTTTGAGAGTTGCGATAAGCTTGCCTGTCTTTGCGTCCCAGATTTGAATTGAGGATTTGATGAGTTCTCCAGGCCAGGGCTCATCACGTCCACCAGTCGCAATCCAGGTCATGTCTGGTGAATAGACGACTGCCCACACTTGATGGTGTCCTGTCTTGATCGATGCAAGTATGGTTTCTCCACTTTCCTCGTCCCGTGTCTCCCCACTTTCCACGACCCATTGCCTTGCAGTCCCATCCTCAGATCCGCTTAACACTCTCCGACCATCTCGACTCCAGTAGACAGATCACACTATTCCGGTGTGCCCCGTCCATTTAGCGATGACCTTGCATGTGTCAATGTCCCACAGCCTCACTGCACCATCCCCACTCCCGCTAACCACTTTCTTCCCGTCCGGAGACAACGCTATGCTCTCCACTTGACTTTCTCCGTCTCTCCAGTCTTCTCCTATCTGTTTTCCGCTCTTCAAGTTCCACGCTCGCAGCGAGCCGTCCAGTGAACAAGTAATGATCCGCTGTCCACCTGGCAGGTGTATGACGCCCCATACAGGCTCAGTGTGTCCCTCAAATTTCTGGCGGGGGTGTTGTCACGGACGTCTCTTTCGTTTTAGTGTTGGGTGAAGCCATGCTACAGAACCTCTACGGAGTGTAGCGCCATCTCAGCTTTCATCGATCAGATTCCAAAATCATCACTTACGAGGATAACGACAGGCGGAGAGAAGGGCACAATGGGCGTTTCTGTCAAGTCCGAGTTGACTTCACTGCTTCCTGGTGCGTTTTTACATGCTTTATCCTCGTGTTCGCTCCACAGCTTATACACAGCATGGGCTGTGCGACTGAAGCGCCAAGAATCATCTGCCTCAAGTCACAACCTGTGACTCTCTCAGTCGACATTTCCACTACACAACACACTAATTACATCCGTTTCCTGCATTCAGGTCTACATTCTTCATTTCGTTATAATATCTTCTGCCTTCGTCTTTTGCCCATACGGGCCATACGCAACATTTTCAGTTACCCCATTCAAATCTCACAGGTACGTCTATTCATCTGACACACTCTCTCATGTCTAGTCTACTTTAAAACCTCTGATAATCCCTATCACGTCTCTCTCCTGATGGCTGGACGGAAATAGGT